TACTGTGTTACCGGGAAGTATAGCAAAGCTAAAAATCATCACGAAAAAGCTCTGGAAATTCAAAAACAATCGTTAGGTCCAAATCATGTTAATGTTGCTACGTCTTTAAACAATCTTGGTAATGTGTATAATGCAACTGGAAACTACGACAAAGCGATAGAGTTTTACGAAAAAGCTCTAGAAATTCAAAAACATTCGTTAAGTGCAAATCATGTTGCTGTCGCTGGGTCTTTAAACAATCTTGGTACGGTGTTACATTGTACTGGAAACTACGACAAAGCTATAGAATTTCATGAAAAAGCTCTGGAAATTCAAAAACAATCCTTAGGTCCAAATCATGTTGATGTTGCTGCATTTTTAAACAATCTTGGTAGTGTGTATAATGATACTGGAAACTACGAGAAAGCTATAGAATTTCATGAAAAAGCACTGGAAATTCAAAAACAATCGTTAGGTCCAAATCATGTTTATGTCGCTGGGTCTTTAAACAATCTTGGTAATGTGTATAGGGGTACTGGAAACTACGACAAAGCTATAGAGTATTATGAAAAAGCTCTGGAAATTCAAAAACAATCGTTAGGTCCAAATCATGTTTATGTCGCTAAGTCGTATAACAATCTTGGTAATGTGAATAGTTGTACTGGAAACTACGACAAAGCTATAGAGTTTATGAAAAGCTCTGGAAATTAAAAACAATCGTTAGGTCCAAATCATGTTGATGTCGCTACGTCTTTAAACAATCTTGGTAATGGTGTTACATGAACTGGAAACTACGACAAAGCTAAAGAGCTTTATGAAAAGCTCTGGAAAAAAACAATCCTTAGGTCCAAATCATGTTGATGTCGCTGCGTCTTTAAACAATCTTGGTTTATTGTTTAAAAAAACTGAAAACTACGACAAAGCTATAGAGTTTTATGAAAAAGCTCTGGAAATTCGAAAACAATCGTTAGGTCCAACTCATGTTGATGTCGCTGCGTCTTTAAACAATCTTGGTACGGTGTTACATGAAACTAAAAACTACGACAAAGCTAAAGAGCTTTATGAAGAAGCTCTGGAAATTAAAAAACAATCCTTAGGTCCAAATCATGTTGATGTAGCTATGTCTTTAAACAATCTTGGTAATGTGTATTCTATCATTGGAAACTACGACAAAGGTAAAGAGCTTCACGAAAAAGCTCTGGAAATTAAAAAACAATCGTTAGGTCCAAATCATGTTGATATTGCTGGGTCTTTAAACAATCTTGGTAATGTGTATTTTAAAACTGGAAACTACGACAAAGCTATAGAGTTTTACGAAAATGCTCTGGAAATTCAAAAACAATCGTTAGGTCCAAATGATGTTGATGTCGCTAGGTCTTTAAACAAACTTGGTATGGTGTTACATGAAACTGGAAACTACGACAGAGCTAAAGAGCTTTATGAAAAAGCTCTGGAAATTCGAAAACAATCGTTAGGTACAAATCATGTTGATGTTGCTGCGTCTTTAAACAATCTTGGTTTATTGTTTAAAAAAACTGAAAACTACGACAAAGCTATAGAGTTTTACGAAAAAGCTCTGGAAATTCGAAAACAATCGTTAGGTCCAACTCATGTTGATATCGCTGCGTCTTTAAACAATCTTGGTACGGTGTTACATGAAACTGGAAACTACGACAAAGCTAAAGAGCTTTATGAAAAAGCTCTGGAAATTCGAAAACAATCGTTAGGTCCATATCATGTTGATGTTGCTGCGTCTTTAAACAATCTTGGTTTATTGTTTAAAAAAACTGAAAACTACGACAAAGCTATAGAGTTTTACGAAAAAGCTCTGGAAATTAAAAAACAATCGTTAGGTGCAAATCATGTTGATGTTGCTACGTCTTTAAACAATCTCCGTTTATTGTTTAAATCAACTGGAAACTACGACAAAGCTATAGAGTTACATGGAAAAGCTCTGGAAATTCAAAACAATCGTTAGGTCCAAATCATGTTGATGTCGCTGCGTCTTTAAACAATCTTGGTATGGTGTTATGAAAACTGGAAACTACGACAAAGCTAAAGAGTTTTATGAAAAAGCTCTGGAAATTCAAAAACAATCGTTAGGTCCAAATCATGTTGATGTCGCTAGGTCTTTAAACAATTTTGGTAAGGTGTTACATGAAACTGGAAACTACGACAAAGCTATAGAGTTTATGAAAAGCTCTGGAAATTCGAAAACAATCGTTAGGTCCAAATCATGTTGATGTCGCTGCGTCTTTAAACAATCTTGGTTTATTGTTTAAAAACTGAAAACTACGACAAAGCTATAGAGTTTACGAAAAAGCTCTAAAATTCGAAAACAATCGTTAGGTCCAAATCATGTTGATGTTGCTGCGTCTTTAAACAATCTTGGTTTATTGTTTAAAAACTGGAAACTACGACAAAGCTATAGAGTTTTACGAAAAGCTCTGGAAATTGAAAACAATCGTTAGGTCCAAATCATGTTGATGTCGCTGCGTCTTTAAACAATCTTGGTACGGTGTTACATGAAACTGGAAACTACGACAAAGCTAAAGAGTTTATGAAAAGCTCTGGAAATTAAAAACAATCGTTAGGTCCAAATCATGTTGATGTCGCTATGTCTTTAAACAATCTTGGTAATGTGTATTCTATCACTGGAAACTACGACAAAGCTAAAGAGCTTCACGAAAAGCTCTGGAAATTCGAAAACAATCGTTAGGTCCAAATCATGTTGATGTCGCTACGTCTTTAAACAATCTTGGTAATGTGTTTATGATACTGGAAACTACGACAAAGCTATAGAGTTTTACGAAAAGCTCTGGAAATTCAAAACAATCGTTAGGTCCAAATCATGTTGATGTCGCTAAGTCTTTAAACAATCTTGGTAATGTATAGTTGTACTGGAAACTACGACAAAGCTATAGAGTTTTATGAAAAGCTCTGGAAATTCAAAACAATCGTTAGGTCCAAATCATGTTGATGTCGCTACGTCTTTAAACAATCTTGGTAATGGTGTTACATGAAACTGGAAACTACGACAAGCTATAGAGTTTTGAAAAGCTCTGGAAATTCAAAACAATCGTTAGGTCCAAATCATGTTGATGTTGCTGTTTTAAACAATCTTGGTTTATTGTTTAAAACTGGAAACTACGACAAAGCTATAGAGCTTTATGAAAAGCTCTGGAAATTCAAAAACAATCGTTAGGTCCAAATCATGTTGATGTTGCTGGGTCTTTAAACAATCTTGGTATTGTTTAAAAAACTGGAAACTACGACAAAGCTATAGAGTTTTACGAAAAGCTCTGGAAATTCAAAACAATCGTTAGGTCCAAATCATGTTGATGTCGCTAAGTCTTTAAACAATCTTGGTAATGTGTATATTGTAACTGGAAACTACGACAAAGCGATAGAGTTTTATGAAAAAGCTCTGGAAATTCAAAAACAATTGTTAGGTCTAAACCATGTTGATGTCGCTACGTCTTTAAACAATCTTGGTACGGTATTACATGAAACTGGAAACTACGACAAAGCTATAGAGCTTTATGAAAAAGCTCTGGAAATTCAAAAACAACCGTTAGGTTCGAATCATGTTGATGTCGCTAGGTCTTTAAACAATCTTGATTTATTGTTTAAAAAAACTGAAAACTACGACAAAGCTATACAGTTTTACAAAAAAGCTCTGGAAATTCAAAAACAATCGTTAGGTCCAAATCATGTTGATGTTGCTACGTCTTTAAACAATCTTGGTACGGTGTTACATGAAACTGGAAACTACGACAAAGCTATAGAGTTTCATGTAAAAGCTCTGGAAATTCGAAAACAATCGTTAGGTCCATATCATGTTGATGTTGCTGCGTCTTTAAACAATCTTGGTAATGTGTATTCTAAAACAGGAAACTACGACAAAGCTATAGAGTTTCATGAAAAAGCTCTAGAAATTCGAAAACAATCGTTAGGAACTAGTCAGGTTGATGTCGTTAAGTCTTTTAAAAAATCTAGGTGTGTTGTATTATGAAACTCGGGAGTATGACAAAGCTTTACAGTTACACTTTGGTAGCTACGTGTTTCAAAGAAAATTGTGCGTTCTAAATTATATTAAGCCGATTTTTAACACATAGACAGTAGGAGCAAGGCTTCCACCTGTCAAGTCAGCTCCCCTCTCCCTCAGAAGGTATTTTTGGTAGTGAATAAAACGTTGGCAATTTGCATTTTGTGAGGTAAAATGAACCTAAAGATGTAATGATCCTTGTCTATATATAGTTTCACTGATATCTAGTCAATAAATTTACTCTACAGCCGGAAATCCTCCTAAGTAGAACTTAGAACTGCCCATGCCCTGAATCTGACATTCTTCTTTAGACTTTATTTCTAAAGTAATTTGCTTTTATGTTATAACCAAGTAGTAATTTTTATTGTATGATTTACAAACATACTAAAGTATATTGGGATGACAGAATTCTGTTAAATAAATACTATCCTGTTAGTTGTTCATATTCTTTGATACATTCAGTAACTTTTTACCCAGTTCCATAATCCTATGACCATATTCCAGGTTCCTATAATTTCCAGGGGCACACCTTCATACCATACATACCACCAGCTGCGAATTAATGGTGTCCAATGTGCAATTTGCACATCGTTTTACTAAATGAAATAATTGCACATCACTTTTCAAGCGATGTGCAAAATCATTTTAACGAAAACACTGTCGTAAATCATATGAATTTGTTAAGCTTAAAAATTAATTTAGCAATTAAACATATATAAATTAACACATCGATTTGATTATGCCTCTAAACAAACACTTTGTCAAAAATTGCACATCGTTTTTCAAACTAACCGCACACATACCACCCCACCATGCTGCAGCCAATATTCCTGTGCTGTCACTTTCCCTGCCATGAAACATAGAACAAGAGCACAATTGAAACCAGGAATCTTTTGCCATCATCAGCATCGTAAGCAATCATTTGTGCATCATGACCACTGGACCAACCCAACCTGCATAACTGACAGATTTTAAAAGCATCACGTTCAGGTATGTTATATGTCACTGGAAACTTTGGTTCACTGGTTCTACTCATTAATTCCCGTAGTTGAAGATATGACTCCCAACTGTTTTTAAAGTAGCCCCAAGATTTCTTGTTTTCTTCTATATCATGACCAACCTTCTCAATGTATTCCCAAACTTTGTGTAAAACACTTAAAAGTCCTGCTCCCATTTTTTTGGAGCCATCTTCTGTATAGCATAGGCTGTAAATAAAGCTGCAGTAACAGCCCCAAGATAACCTATAAATAAAATCATTATCTTTAAAGATTGCTAATTTTAGGTCACTTACATTATGATGACTCTATTTACATAATAGCGGCATTTTGATATGGATCATAAATTCAATGACTGTAGTAGTAAAGATATTAAAGCAAAACAGTAATGGCAATTTAAACAGTTTTTAGAAGACAGAAATTTGGAAATGTGGAAAAGCGATAAAAGGGATGGATCAAAGATATGGTCATTTAAAGTGAGCAATGTTAGAAGGATGGAGGCATTTGAGATGTGGTTCTAGAAAATGATGGATTGCATAGACTTATGCAAACCTAAGGAGAACCATCTTTTATTTCATTTATAAATTGATATTAGATAAAAGGATATGAAACATTCATGGTAATGGCTTGTTCAAGTAAGTAATCGAAGGAAGAGTTGAAGATAAAACATCTAAGAAAAGCAAAAGGATTGAAAAGCTAAATTACTATAAAGGTTTGTTAAAATGAAAAGAAATGCAGATAACAAGAAAACCTAGCAAACTTTATACAAAGCAACACTTGTTGATAGACAAAACACTAGACATTAGTGACTTGATAATTGATACATGATCTTAAATCGTTGCTTTATTATGAAAGGTGAATACCTGTGGGGTGATTATGAGTCATCCTTCCACTTTCAACAGCAATTTCAATTAACATTTCAATTTGATCTTCACAAGGAAAGATCAAACCTATACACATGGATCTCATAGCTGCACCACATCCTTCACCTCGTTCATTAAATGGTATAATGTAACCTTTTTCCTCAAGAGGTTGTAACATGAAACATGCCTTTGTTGTGGTCTGACCAGGAGCTCTTTCCCACATATCCTCAGCACATGTCTTCTTGTACTTTGTAGCCATAATGCTCAATAACTCTTCCGTTGTTGTCCATTCAGAAACCAACACTTCTGCTGTAGCAATGTGTAGTACAGTGTCGTCACTAACCCTCCATCCTTTAATGTCAATTTTATCAAGTCCTCCGAGTTTTTCTAGTTCTTCATGAATTTGAGTACCACTGTAACAGAATTCCCACAAACCATTCTTATAACCTAGAGCATCCCCACTCCACTGAGAACCATAACTGCTTCGTATTTCGGATAATTGGACCGTATTTTCAAGAGCCATTTTAATATGTTTACTTCACCGTAGTTTAATGAATTTTTTGAAACACGGGGAAAGTACTAAGCTTCCTCAACTTAGTCAACTAATAAAACGTAAAATCTTTTCTTTGCTTTGTTTCAATATTGTTTCATACTATTGTTTAGATTTAGACGAGAGCGTTGGGAGACTGGGACTGTTATTTTGTAATCCTTAATCTTTACCCGATTCCATGATCTTCAATCTGATTAACATGTTGTTTCTTGCAAAGATTCTTTAAAATTTTAAAGTTTCTTCCTTATATCATGGATTATCCGACACGGATTTAATCCAAACTTGACAATTTGATTGCATATATACTAAAAAACAGTGTATTGGGAATCGAGCCCAAAGACTAAATTTTCCGCTCTTTGAAGATACCCCACAGTTGGGCTGTTTTTTTTCTTGGAAAGTTCAGACGATTTTGGCTATTGAACATATTTTGAATATTTTATAGTTCGAAAATTTGATCTTTGTAGAATTTTTGAAGCTCCAACTTGGTAAGTTATTGCTTGATCGTAATAGACAAAAACAGGTCAAGAGCTTTGTTGTTCAATTGCACTTCACAATTTAAAGTCACAAACAATAAACAATTATCAGCTTTTTTATAATGCCGGTTTAGCGTTAAAATGCTTAAATATCCAACTTTACGCCCCAAATACATGCAAGTTTAACTTTCACATTTACAATAAGTGTTAAGTAAATAAATATAAAAAATAATTAAACTGAAATCACCCAAACTGTTCTAAAATGCAGAATTGCTTAAACATGACGCTGTTTTTTTAACGAAAGTGAAGATGGCTGTAAATTTTAGCTGATAGACCCTAGGTTCGCTCAGCTAAGCATCCATAGCCTTCAAATTGCTTTTTGTTCCATGGTTGTATATGACAAGTAGTACAAGTTTAGTCCCACACCAAGGTCACTGTTTTTTTTGATGACTTAACCGAAATAAAAATCCCTAATGGAAAACCTGAACGGTATAAACCAAAACCGAACACAACGGCACGAGAATTTGAGAATACTGAAGAGGAAAACCATTAGGATTTCAGCCGAAGTTCCGCGCCCGGGGACCCTTAGAAACAAAAATCTTTACTTACCTTTGCAACGATGCAAATACCAAAAAAAAGAAAAAACCGTCAATTTCTCAAAAAACACCTTCAAGTCCAAAAATCTTTTAAGTATTTTAGTTATGGATATAATTCGCCATTTTTAACGTACATACAACTTACGTACAAACCGCCACATTTTAGTTTTACCGCACGTAAACCGATCAGCGAACTCGACAATTTTCTACTATGGACGAGAAAATTGTGTAATTTGATGGGAATTTCTTTTAACGTGTTTTCTTATCTAATCCACATCCGAATCAGTCGCACCTAGCGCCACCTTAGCAGTCCCTATTTTGCATCGTTTCATTCAGTGCTTTGCGCGCTCGGTGCCACTAACGCTTAAAGTTGCTGCATGACATGGATTAGATAAATGTACTTCAAAATATTTTAAGCAGAGAGACTAAATTTAATATTTTTTGAAACAAATTAGAACACTTGAAGAAGCACACGTTAAGTTTGGTTACCGAGAGACCGTGGATGGTTTAACCAAACAACCGGCAGCGCTTGATTTAAGTTATGTCTTAGTTTGACAATTATCATATAGATGACTAGATAGCAACGCGAATGGTGAACATGGAAACCATCGTGTAACTATTTTGTATCATATGTGACAACGTCTGCGGTTTGTCTTCATGGTAACCATCAAAGAAAATAAACAACGTGCTTTTATTAAAACTATGTTTCGTGTTAGTTTGGTTAATATGAAGCCATTCCGCATACTTAGACCTGGTGTACTAAACTTTTTTTTATGCCATTTTTTGCTGTGGCTTGCCGCATCGAAGTTCCCAGGAAAGAAGTTTTCTTAATAAGAAAACAACATATCCATTTTTACATTTACAGTAATTGCCACGCCGCTCCTAAGCTGTAAATGTCTTGACAAACTGAAGACTATTTGAGTTTCAATTTGTTGATTTGAAAATGACTGACAAGATTAAAGTTTCCTTCGAAAGATTTTGAAAAATTTAGTCATTTCTCTTGATAGTGGAGTTCATCCTTTAAATTTATAAAGGTTCTAACCCCATACTCTTTATCTAAGCGTAGCAACTACTCGCTGCAACTACAGCGCATGCCTAAGCTATCTAAACTTCCTACCTGCGCATGGCACCGGAATTCCGCCCTGAAAAGGAATGCCCCTTGAAGGAGGTAACCCATCATGCCCTTAACTTAACTTAACCTAGTGCATGTTGCACCTACGGGCGACCTCCAACCGGGTGGGTTGAACTACTCATGCATTATAGGGGATCCATGCAGGAGTGCCTTAATAGTCAATGTAGAAAGCCGTTCATGAAATTGGCCAACTACAACGACTGCATGCTCTTACCGTACTAGGGAGAGATATTTTCTTTCCACCAAAACCACGATCTTCCCTTGGTCTTCAATAGGCCTTGCTCGCTTGATCCAGTCTTCAAAGGTCTTCTTACAGATGCTATTTGCATCCTCTACGCTAAGGTACCATTTGTACCCACTAACCCCAAGTTGAAGTTGCCTTCCTTGGGCCAAACTTCACTTGCATTTCCGATTCTAAGCTATGGTCCTGCCTATCCTTCTGCGAGGCAACAACCGCTGCGATCATGCGTAGCTCCTTAAAGCAGTATATTCACACAGAGGTTTTCGAAGGTAAATTATATAGAACAACACAATTGTTGCATGCCAGTCACAGACTTGAAATAGTTGATACAAATTCACGCTTACTAAGACACAAATTTAAAAAGAATTAAAGCAGCACCGATAAACACTATTGGATTATTTTAACCAAAGAACACTTTTATTACCTCTTAATCAAGACTATTTTGAAAATGCAGATGTAAATTTCTTTAAATATATTTATTTGCATTCCTGCATTAAAAAAATAGCCTTACAGTGGAATATACTGAACACCAGGATTTGTTGTGGCTATTGCCCGAATTATATTAGAGATTTGACCTGTTAACAGGCCTAACTAAATAAAAGGTTTATTATTATTACACTTACGGTTTTCGACAAATCCTTGGCAGTTCGACGACAGACTACGATGAATGACAAATCTCATGCCAATTGTGAAGATGAAACGATCGGATGTTGAGCAAGGACAGCCACAAAAAAGCCCAAAATAGTTTTTTGAAAAATTCAGAACGTTGATGGTGAAACCATCGTATCCAATTTTCAGGCTACCTGACAAACATCACCGCTTTTATGTCGACGACGGCAAGCACAGAAACAAGATTGGCCATTTCTTGCAACTGTGCATGTCGTCTACGGCATTAAAATCGGAAATATCGACAGCCAGTCGGAAAATTAGGATTTTTAGGGGTTTTTTTCATGTTAAGGAAATTCCATGTTTTTAGTACAAAAATTTTCCATTAAATAATGTTGAAATTTGGGCATTTGATAGCGGCGTGGTTTTATCCATCATTGCGATTGATTGAGCAGTCGTGATGTTAGCAGGAAAACTCCCAGGAAAATGTTTTAGAAAAGGTCGTAATATTGACTTTTTCATGGAAACAGGCGTTAGGCTGATGGATGCATTGCTCCAGAAGAGTGTTTAGCGTTTGCATTCTTTTTAGAGAAGGTGTTTAGGGCATTAGAAGTCACGTATTTTTCAATTTCATCAAAGTATATTGTCCATTCTTGATCATTGTTCAGAAGAGTTCATTAAAGTATATTGTTCATTCTTGATCATTGTTCAGAAGAGTTCATTAAAGTATATTGTTCATTCTTGATCATTGTTCAGAGGTCTTCGTTAAAGTAAATTGTTCATTCTTGAGCATTCTTCAGAGGACTCTTTAAAGTACACTGCCCATTCTTGATCATTGTTCAGAGGATTTTCTTAAAGTACGTATGTTGTCCATTCTTCATCAGAAGGTTTCTACATAGGACAATTGAAGCCAATGTCAGTCCACATTATACTTCCATAAATGAAAAACATTGATAACATACTTACATTGAACATTTTATTCACTAGTAATGTAGTTCAAGGGAAGAAGAATTTCAACCAAATTACAGAATTGTATTTTGTTCTTATGTTTAGATGAGCGTCGAGGAACTGGTCGACAATAGCCACAATTCTCTTCAACCGCTGTGAACAATAACCATTTTCTTTAATTGTGAAGGCTATGATCATGGTAAATAAACCAACATTTGTTCGTTGTTTCTCAATCTCATTTGATGACTAATTGTCGTTTAAGAGAAGAATGTCCATGTCTAAAATCAAGCATAGAGGAAACAAAAATTACTAAGACGGAAACTTTATGGAAAGGCCACACTGCACTTTGCATTAATGAACATCACATGCAGTGTCCCAATTCAATGTTTACTCAATGCAAAAGAACTTGAAACAAGACATTTACCTGAACAATTTTTCCAAGGACTCCAAGAGATATTTCACCGTGGAATAATTTCGACTTCGGCTAACTATTCTTCCTGCAACTACAGACTTTCACGTTCAAATGGCACGTTCTTAGTCTTAGACTATGGCCCAAGTTTCACGAACGTGTTGTATTCTGATTGGTCAGTGACTAGGCGTGTTGTAAACGTGTTGTGTTCTTATTGGTCATTTACTAGGTGTGTCCTAAACTGTTGTGTTCGGATTGGTCATTTACTAGGTGTGTCGTCAATTGTACATTGTGAAATTTAGAATTTGCATGATTCATCACTTAGAAGTAATTAATCCCCATAGAGCGGTAAATGCAATTTAATACAATAAAACGTATACTTCAGCTACAGCAAATAGCAAATCCCAAACATTTAAGTCTCCTTGGGGAACAACTACAGCTGAATCATGCAAATTCTAAAGGTCCACTGATGTCAAAAATGATTTGATAAACCCTCTAGATTGTTATCTTCATCTCATTTTCTTATTGTATTTATTAGCATTAACATTTGATCTCTTTTAATTAACAAACTTACCTTTAGTTTTAGGGACTGTTTATATGAGCCCGATAGACCGGGATTCAGCGAACGAACATGTAACATGTAACATGTTCTTACACAAACTTTCGGCAGTTATTTCAGTAAACAGTAAAGATACAAACGATGGACAAAAAAGCAGTTAATATTGGAGGCAACGCCAAGAGAAACCCGACCTTGTGCAACGAAAATTTCCGCAATGCCATTCTGTAACGGTCGTCATTTCGTTAACGTCTTTTCTGACTTCTTGAACGACTTTTCAAAGAGCTTAGCAAAAATAATCATGTATTTAACGTAAAGATCTTTGATAAACCAGCAATTGTCAAACTCTCTAAAAACCACCATGTACAACAAAACTTCGGCAATGCCATGTTTCTTCGTCAACATCTTTCTGACTTCTTGAAAGACTTTTCCCGACAGCTTCAAAAATGAATGAGGAATGAAGTATAAAGTTTGACTGAGGAAGAAGCAGCTGATATTTTAGGGTAAAACTGATATAAATTTTGTAAAAAACGTAACTCTTCAACGGCCATTTTCGTTTTTCGAGTTTGAAACGACTTTTGCAACAGCTTCAAAGAAAGAATCATGTATTCAACAGTTGTGATGTTATAAAATATTGTGAAAATGGATTTGCAAGGCGGAAAGCGAATTCTTAGTATAAATATAATTGCCCATCATAAAACTTTAATATGGCCATGGGTATATAATTTTATCAACAATAACGTTTCGTCTTTAGCTGAAGACATCTTCATATTACAATACATACATGTAGGAAGTAGTAAATCCTATTCTTAGAAATTTTGTACAATACTTACAATAACGACTGTATGCTTCTTCTTCTGAAATAAAAAGGTTATATTACTCACTGTAATACTTTGAAACTTACAAATGAAATATTTTACGTAATACTTACGATAAAGATTGTTTCAGCAAGAAATCTCTTTACACATAGCGCGGGAAAGATCGGCAAAAAGTCATATGACGTATTGATCAAAATTGGTCACGTGTCAAGTCGTATAAACATTCGCCAGCAAGAGCTGGGTGACGCGGGATATGTAAATTGATCAAATCGTGCTGAGATAGCACAACATTTAATAGCATAGTAGGTTTCGTGTGATGTATTTAATATACGATTGTTTTCATTTCAAGTTAAATATTATGTTTTAACTTGTTAAAACCCAGTATGATGTACTATTATATAGTAGCAAATACTGACAAATTATATCTGTATACAACACATACAATAAAGAGTTTGAAGTTGATGCATCAGGAAATTCTTCTACTTTGTAGACATATTATATTTATATATACTGAACTATACGTATGTTATATATATACATACAATATAACTTATACAATTTCTATGCTCTGTTTTTTCGACAGACATCCTACAAGTTTTACCTTTAACCATTATATGTAGAAGGAACAGTTTGTTTTGTTGTTGTCGCCGTTGAAACAGATGATACCGTTGAAGTTTGCCTGTAAAATATTTGCTGAAAGTTTAGAGAAAAATTGATAAACTATTCATGAAATAATAGGTAGTAGCATTTTGATTTTCTTTCTAAAACAAGCCAAAGTTTGAGTTCTTTGTGTTGTATTATTACGAAATAAAAGATTTTTACTGCGTTTGCACGGGCTTATGCAAACCGAGGAGACCTTTGGGAGAACACGAGAGCAGATCATTGCAAGCCCGAAACCGAAGGTAGAGTGTTGCACATGCTCAAGAGTTCTCACAAACGTCTCCGAGGTTTGCATAAGCCAGTGCAAATAGGAAAATATCTTCTTAAAAAATATCAGTAATGCGAAACAGACAACTTTAAAACAAACGTTTTAATTTGTCCTCTAAAATGTATTCACGATTGATTTGCGAATTCTCTTTGATTGATTTGATTTGTTGAGCTCAGATCGGTTTGCACAAGCTAATGAAAACACAGCTATAGACCAATCAGCGCATGCGCTTGATTGCTTTTGTTCTTGTTTTGACTTTCAATTTTTCTGTCTATTCTTGCCTTACAAACATTAACACTAAAAATCGTTTAATATTCTGTATATTGAACAATAAATTACTACACTCATGACAAGATCACGTGTTTACTCACATGAAAAGATCGTGTTTACTACATGAAAAGATCACGTGTTTACTCACATGAAAAGATCACGTGTTTACTCACATGAAAAGATCACGTGTTTACACATGAAAAGATCACGTGTTTACTGCATGAAAATGGAAAGTATTTGAACAAAGAACTCTTGCAAGGATTTTCACCTAACAACCCAGACTATAATTGATCAATTTTCTCAAGTAATTTTCCAATTGTTTCGACGTGTTTCCACAAAATTGACGTCACGATTTCCAATAATTTTCTTCGGAAACGTGAATTGTGCAACAGGTTTAAACTGCTTGCTTGTCTGTGCATAAAAGGAAAAGGAAGGGATTGTACATTACGGCAAAACAATATGATTAAAAAATTAAAATACTGATGTTTATTAAAACCTCTTATGTAGGGCATAAAATCCGAGTATCTTTTGTAAACATTCCATTCATCGTCTTTGATACGGATATAAACCTTGTGAAGTAAACAATGTTAAATTCTTTATTGACGACAATAAATGGACCACTGAGCAGATGATATATATATATATACAAGAAGTTTATATTTGATGATTCTCCGTATAAAACAGTGCTCGATGCCCGAGAGCAGAGCGTAATATGTTTAGTGGTTAGAAAATAAAATTACAGATTCATCCCGACAAGCCTGTTTCGTGATTAAAGGAAAATCCCCTGAAGAGTGAGCAGTCACGAAACAGGCTTGTCGGGATGAATCTGTAGTTTTGTGATTTTTTCTCAACACCACTAAACATATACATATGAAAAGTGAAATATTTGAGCAGTAAATTTAAACTACGACATGATCTTTTAAATACGATGACCACAAACACTTTTCTCAAGGGTGATGTATTTGAAACGAGGAAAATACCAAATATAGATCATAAATCTTGAAATATAGTCCCTAGTTATCCCTAACCTAGTCCAGATAACCATCAACATCACATCGGAAGAGTTATTTACTTTTTTTAGAGATAAATATATGGAAAAAATTATACCTGATAAGAATGGTGAATGTTTGGAGACTTTCCTTGTACAAAACAGATGGAATCCAAATGTTAATTAAAGGACGAGTATTGACAGACATGAAATTTGGACCAAACTCCGTCAAATATAAACATTCATCATGATTATTGTCCTGAGGAAGCTAGAACATACGAAGATACGTAGTTTTATTAAGAAATATTTAGAAAATCAAAAGAATATTTACTGCTTTTCATATTCATACCAAACAGTTCATATTGTACATACCGATCAATATTGTACATCTATTGTACTATAATGAACACACGGGTCTTTACTGAACATACCGGTCCTCTAAGATTGACAAGCTCTTCTTTTAATATTCTTAGCTGATATTCACGAGCATTCAACATTTTTTGTAGTCTTTCATTGAGTTCAATAAGTTCGCCATGCATATCAGCGACCTTTAAACATGATAAACAACATTTCATCACAACTTACGCCATGACGTCATCACCATGAAATTCCCAGGGATGAACAAGAAACGAAATCAGTCAGAGTGGCGAGTTTTTAAACATATATCACGATTTCATTTCAGTTATTTATCCTCAGTTTTCATAAGTTAAAATATCTTCTTGTATTAGATATTTCTTAAAGTCACCGTGCATCGTATAAAAGAGTTTTCTATCAAATAAATTTCGGCTCATCTTCATGTAGCATATGATACCTGAAGACCTTTTAAGGCAAATGTTTCGTTTTGTAAAAGTATTATGGTTTAATGGAAATCTTACTTGGATCAACTTCCGCTCAAAATCTTTGTTTTCTTCCTTTCTACAAGAAAAGGAACGAAATTCAACGCCGTTGATTCACTTTTGCTACAAATTTACGGTAAATACCTCACTTCGTCGACGTCAGATTCCGGAGAAAGAATGATAGAAGAAAGTCTTTCATTTTCTGGAGCTACACAAAAGATTATCGAATATCTTAGATTTCTACATCTATTTTAAAGATAAACTATCCCTCTAGTAAACCTTCTTCCATAATGTCATTTCTTTTCAACGATTGAACAGCACCCACGTATTTCTTTAGTTGGTGTTTGAGCAAATCATTTTCACTAAAGAGCAAAAACGAACAGGTCAACAGACATCTTTGATTAACGGAAATGCAGAGTTCTCAATGTCCTAACCTTTTTAAGCCGTTAAGAGCGACGCAATTTTCTTCATTTTTCGACGACATATCTCTTTTTAAATCTTCTAATTGAAGACGAAGAGAAGCTGACATCATCATCTCTTTTTCCAAATGTTGTTGTAACGATCTACAGGAAAGATGATCGAAGGAAAAATCAGGGCAAAATAGTGTATATTCGAATGGAATGTTAATATTAAACGAAGGACGATAATACAACCTGTTACGTTCTTCAACTTCATCTTTTCTTAACATCATCGATACAATCGCCTGTTTTAATTCCTCTTCAAGAAGAAAAAACCACGTATTTATTGATATTCATGAAATTATAATTATTCACACATACAAATATTCAGTTCACATGATGAAATTTGACGGATGTCTACAAACAAGCAAAGCAAATACGATAGAAATAGTAAAATCCAATTGCACTAAATATTTCTATATATAAAACTAACTCTACCCGCTAATAGCCCATTTATAGTTTGAGAACCTGAGGCAAAAGTGCCTCTCCCGTTCCGAAAACATTTTTTCAAAAGATATAAGAAATAAAAACCATTTAAATACATGAATAGAAAAAACACACAAACCTGAAGTCATTTCTTTGCCTGATGGATATTCCTCTGATGGCTAAAGAACGAAAACATACCAAATATAACGAACTAAATATAACAAAGATATTTACACATGGCTTTCTACCCTCCCCTCCCCCTCAAAAAAAAGATAAAAGCATTTCATAATTAACTAACATTCATACAACCATCACCCATGGTTCTGACTAATGACGATCTTGAGTAATCATTAATTTCTATGCTACCATCACGTGTGGCACATATCGCTGCAACAGTTGCTCCAATTGCTAAACTTGCATCATTCTCGACGTCTTCATCAGTGTAAATACTGAAAACAACATAAATTACCACCTCAGTTAAAATGGTGAACTCGTTAGACATTCTTGTCGATAAAATAATGAAGTATCTTCTAACCTTGAAACGGGGAATCATTTATTGAATGAACTAAATGTCGCGACGTCTCAGGTGCAACAGTAAATCGCTCATTTTCATCTGACATAGCTAGACTCCTAACTCCTTTATCGTCATCGGGGCAAACTACGGGAATTAGAGATACACCGCTGTTCATATCAACAAGAGGCTCACACACTTCTTCCTCCGACAAGAGCGATGAGTCAGTGTAACGCCCTGATTGCAAAGATGTTGTCAAAGAATGATTTTTTTTTCAAATCATTCGCAGTTTTAAACTCGTTTTTAAGATGCAGAACTTCCTGGCTTTTCTTTGTTAATCGAGCCACTTGTTCATCTGTTTCATTCTCCTTGTTCTCAACTTTGGTTTTCGCCATTGTGGAAGAAAGAGTTGAATTCTCAGAAGTCGAACAATAAGCCAACTGAGAGTTCTTTGGCATTTCAAGAAAATCGTCAGGCCTTTTATTAAAAGCATGGTTACCACGAGCATGTACCTGAGAATCAGTATTACGTTGTAATATGTCGTATGCCGCTCGGGTAAAGCTCGTGGCACTATCGTGAGCAGTCGTTGTTGTGGAAGAACTACCATGAGAACTGACAGAAGGTCCTTCTTCCGTCTCTTTGAATTCAACATTTTCAATTTGAGCAATGTTTGCTTTCTTTTTTTTACGTTTTTTCTTTTCTTTTCCTGAAACACAAAAGAAAGATAAAAGTTAAAAATTAATAAAGACGCGTGAGGATAAATGACTACACATTGTTCAAGTATGATAAAGAATAAATGAGGACGCGCGGTTAAGGGATGATAAGGGATGAATAAACAACAGGTATAGTTAAGGGATAAATGAAGACATGTAATAATGGGATAATAAAGGTTAAGGAGAACGCATGGTTGGGGGATTACAAGGAATAAATGACATGTGTGGTTAAGGAATGATAAGAATAGCGATATATGAGATGAATGGTAGGGATAATTAGGGATAAAAGGGATATTTTTGATCAGGGAGAAAAATGAAATTCTGATCAAATCTTTATTTTCTTAAAACTTCACCAAGCTCCTGACGTGCATACATTGGTGATGGTACAGCCCATATTGATGTTGGACGAGAAACTGCTTGGCTGATATTGCCTGGAATCTAAAAATTAAATTAAATTCAAGTAGTTAAAGAAAAGTACATTCATAGCTTCCACTTTTTTACTATCCATTTCTATTTGCAAAGATTCATTTTAAACAATATCAATAGCATTCCAGCATACCTGTACAGTAATAGAGTTAAACTCAGCTTTGTCAATGTCAATTGCAAAAAGAATTGAACTTAAGCCTTAAAGAAGAAACAAGGAATGATAAAAAATCCATTATAGAAATATAAACGAGTTTATTCTTACCAGCAGCCATCATTGGTAACATACTAGATCGCTCATCATCCAATAATAATGCATCTTGCTCATAATACTGACTGAAATTAAAACAATTACACATCGTATAATTATTCTCACATAAACAGCTTACCGTTAAAAGAAAATTGCATTACTATATCGCAATATACATTGGTTATGATAATCATAAAGCTTATCAAGCCAAAAATCGATCTTTCTTTCTTAAATGTTACTTAAATCAAACTTACAAAAGCAATTGTTTATGCCCAATGAAGCTATGAAGATATTTCTCCAGTGATTGCTCGTTTAAACTAGACCTAAGCCATGCTTGAGCTGTCAAATAAACATCAAAAATAGAAAGAAAAATGTCAGAACAAATTCATGGCATACAAAAAGGTTTTACCCACAAACATTCCTGGAATCATTTAGAAACCAACAACTTGACTAACCTCTACCAACATCTGTCATTACATTATGTAAAGAATTATATGTCTTTATTTCACTAGAGCTAAGATGTTCCTTGATAAATAGCCAGAACACAGATTGACCTTCAGATCTCATTAACACCTGCCTTTAATGAACATAGAAATGATGAAAACAAATTATTTAAGAATGGCTTTTAAATTGACTGAATTGAGAGAAGGATGATGAAGATACCTTAAAGAATTTATCTTTTTTGTGGATTTAATGCCAAATTGAAGAACAATGTTCCATTGCTCACAAAGACAAGAGATTCTGTAATTCATCATAAATACAAAGATTATGATAAATAAGGATTATACTATGAAATAAAATGAATACAATACAATGCAATCGAAGAAATATCAAGTTCACCTGCTATCCTTCTCAGAAGCCAATTCGGTTGTACTACCAAATCGTACCTGACACTAAAGAAACGACGAGGTTCAAGTCGACCAAATCATTCGAGTAAAATCAATACAATAAAAGACGAAACGAAATTACAAGTTCCAAGTTCGAACTTTAAACTACGTACAAATATTTTACAACTAACTTGCTTTACTCCATCCAACAAGCGATCAATAATTGCTTGCTTTGTAATATCTACACTTGCCAAATTCAACATAATCTCCACTGAACTAACATGTAAAAAAAATAGTTTTATTTGTCAATTAGAAAAATAATTAAAAATAATTAGATAATAACAAAGTATGTATATACGAGTACCTTATGATCGCTTGATATCACCACATATCAACTCTCACCACCCATGCTAGCATGAAGAAAGTTAGAGAAAATACAAAGTGTTTTCTACATGTAAAAAATATCCACGATACACGACAGTATTATTGAAGCACTTCACAAAAGAAGACAAATGAAGGAAATTTACCAATATGGGCAACGGAAATGATGTAAATGAAATATTTGAGGCAAATGGCAGGACGTCACAAAGAGAGGGGAACGTTGGGGTGGGTGGGGATGAGAGTACACACTGAGCGTCGCAGATGACACCCTAGGGCCCACCATAATACCTCAGCAAAAGAATGCATGAAAACATGACACATGCAGTAATTTCTTAAAGTTATTTCCTGAGATAAATCAACGCTAGTAAAAATTTTTCATCGAATTCTTATATCAAAACCATGAACAAAGATTCCACATTCTAAAAACGGATGATAAAATGTAAAAATCAAAAGGTTTTAAATTCTTTTGTCCAATTTCACTTATTGAACATCACTGAAATAAAAAATAAAATGTTAACAAGTCACAAAATTTATCAGACTAAACTATGAGTACATTGTTTTATAGTTAGTTCATGGTCAATGCTGTATAGTTAGTTCATGGTGAATGTTGTATGGTTAGTTCATGGTCAATGATGTATTCAGAGGCGAAACTAGAACGTTAATTGGGGTATATTCATATATTCAGCTCTGCGCTGCTGATTTCTTTGGTTTGCGATGTTAATTTCAAAAGAAGTCAGCAGAGCAGAGCTGAATACATAAATATTTACCGCCCACCCCAATTAACGTTCTAGTTTCGCCCCTGGCTGTATTACAACTAACAAAATTCTGTTAAACCAAATACCACATGACGTCATTGACGGTAATTACATGTTTGTAGATGTAAATCGTCCAGGTCAGAGTAGAGTCGTGAGGAATGTTGATATTAACTGTCTCAGAAGCAAGGGAGAAGATAAGTATGACATTATCAACAACACCAACAGTCTTTCTCAAGGCTCTACTAACTTCGACGATCTCCATCTACAAACATGTAACGATACTCCCGGGTTCAAACCATTTACTTTAATACTTGGTAATATCAAATGACATAAAAAACGTAAAACCTTCTGTTGATATGTAACTCAAAATGAAGTGTATAAACGACAAAACAATACACATTCATAATGTTTATTAATCATCCATTAAGACATTCACATTCAACTTATGGAGATATTTGATTAAGAAGTCTCAATATGGAATTTAAAAACAATCACTTGTGAACATTTCAAGATATTTTTATTTCGAAGCAAATTATTGAAGTTAATATTGAATTACACAATTCAAGAGGAAAAAAATCATGTGCTTGTAATAATTCACAAAAATTGAATTTATTCTTCAGCAACAAATCATCATCAAATGTTTGCTATAAAAATGAGTAAGAATTGATTCACTAACAAAACAGAGCGTCGTATGCTCCTACTTATCCCTAAACATCAAAACATTGTTCTTACATACCCTCAATTTCCTCCTCTTGTTCATCTTCATCCTCATCATCAGCTTCTTCTTCATCATCGTCATCATCGTCATCTTCCGAATCAAACGTGTTGTTGGGAATATCGTAAATACGAATCATCCCCTTTAAAAGAAGGACACACAATGGATAAATAATGATAAAAAAGGATAATGAATATGCATCATTTCCAGAACAAAGAAATACTGTCGTGAGTGAAACTAAACTGAATCCGAATGCTGCCAAAAAAAAAGATTAACGATCCAGTTAACTATAAGCTCAGTAATGCCTTTGTTACCTTGTTAGGATCCTTCAAAATAAGATATTTCCCCTTTTCAAGATTCATACAATAATCAATAATACATCGTACTATTCCCCAACCATTGTCCATACTGAGATTCATCTGACTAGCAAGTTCACGTGGTTTGAACTGCTGGGTGCCCAGAATGCAATGCTTTGATGAATCCATAAAATTTTACGTGAAACGTAACTAAATTGAAACAAAGAAAAATTAAACTAAAAAACAACGCAGAAGATAATAAATATGAAAACTATCATTTCCATTGCAAATTGCAATACTCACCCAATTTTTAAGTACTCAGAGCCCGACAAAACAGACGCAACAGTCCACTTTGCCAGCTTACAGCCATTGTTCTTGAGTTCAGTAGCCAAGACAGCTCCACGTTGAGTGTCTAGCTTTTGACGCCATTCTCCCATACCTCCCTACACATACATACATGACGTAATGACAACATTCTCCCATACCTCCCTACACATACATACATGACGTAATGACAACATTCTCCCATACCTCCCTACACATACATACATGACGTAATGACAACATTCTCCCATACCTCCCTACACATACATACATGACGTAATGACAACATTCTCCCATACCTCCCTACACATACATACATGACGTAATGACAACATTCTCCCATACCTCCCTACATACATACATGACGTAATGACAACATTCTCCCATACCTCCCTACACATACATACATGACGTAATGACAACATTCTCCCATACCTCCCTACACATACATACATGACGTAATGACAACATTCTCCCATATACCTCCTACACATACATACATGACGTAATGACAACATTCTCCCATACCTCCCTACACATACATACATGACGTAATGACAACATTCTCCCATACCTCCCTACACATACATACATGACGTAATGACAACATTCTCCCATACCTCCCTACACATACATACATGACGTAATGACAACATTCTCCCATACCTCCCTACATACATATACATGTAATGACAACATTCTCCCATACCTCCCTACACATACATACATGACGTAATGACAACATTCTCCCATACCTCCCTACACATACATACATGACGTAATGACAACATTCTCCCATACCTCCCTACACATACATACATGACGTAATGACAACATTCTCCCATACCTCCCTACACATACATACATGACGTAATGACAACATTCTCCCATACCTCCCTACACATACATACATGACGTAATGACAACATTCTCCCATACCCACACATACATACATGACGTAATGACAACATTCTCCCATACCTCCCTACACATACATACATGACGTAATGACAACATTCTCCCATACCTCCCTACACATACATACATGACGTAATGACAACATTCTCCCATACCTCCTACACATACATAATGACAATGATTCTCCCATACCTCCCTACACATACATACATGACGTAATGACAACATTCTCCCATACCTCCCTACATACATACATGACGTAATGACAACATTCTCCCATACCTCCCTACACATACATACATGACGTAATGACAACATTCTCCCATACCTCCCTACACATACATACATGACGTAATGACAACATTCTCCCATACCTCCCTACACATACATACATGACGTAATGACAACATTCTCCCATACCTCCCTACACATACATACATGACGTAATGACAACATTCTCCCATACCTCCCTACACATACATACATGACGTAATGACAACATTCTCCCATACCTCCCTACACATATATACATGACGTAATGACAACATTCTCCCATACCTCCCTACACATACATACATACGTAATGACAACATTCTCCCATACCTCCTACACATACATACATGATGTAATGACAACATTCTCCCATACCTCTACACATACATACATGACGTAATGACAACATTCTCCCATACCTCCCTACACATACATACATGACGTAATGACAACATTCTCTAATACCTCCCTACACATAAACATAAATGACGTAATGACAACATTCTCCCATACCTCCCTACACATACATAAATGTACCTTAGATTCCCATTCATTTAGAGCCTTTATGTTGATGTAAGTTCCAGGTGACAATACTGCATCATGTTCACATCTTATAACAATTTCTATATCATTGCCAAGATTCCATTTACGATATCTAAATAAGTGACAAATGATTTCACTGGTTGAGATTAATACAACATTTTAACGAGGGAAGGTCACAGCGAAGGATGAAAGTCAAAATTATCTTGTACACTATCACATTTTTCTTCTTAATGGAAGAACGAGCTGGCAAAACATGTATACCTTCAACACAATGAAATAAAATATTTAATAATTTTTGTGATATCAAAAAATTACGAAATAAATAAGTCAAAACATGTTTCCAGCGTTTTAAAACATAAAGCAATGATAGTTAAAATTTAGCACATGTATGCCAGGGTGTAAAAAAGTTGGAAAAGTTAAGAAAACTATGGCTTGTGTGGCCAAACTTGTTTTCCTTCAAATTAAGTATTTTGTTAGTTAAGTAAATTCAAACAATCAATCAATGTTATCAGTCTTGAATAAGAAAAAGTGAAACACACAAAACGTCCAATTTTGACATGTTGCGGTGAACGTCAAATTTTCTAAAATTTTTCACCGCACATGACAAACTTTCACCTGGTCGATTAAATAAAATTTTAAACCTTTCATTTTCTTTGAGCAAGAAGTTAAATTGACGCTTCTACAAAGTGCTCTCCCAATTTTCCAGATAAATTTTTCTGATTGTTTTACTTTTAGATAAATCAGACAATGCCAAAATACATGGATGTTGATGAAATTATAGTTTGCTGGACATTTTTAAATGTTCTAATTTTTTATACACGCTGTAAAGCACAATAT